TTTTCTCTTTTCCTGGTCGTTCTGATCCCAACAATTTAAAATTTGAAGTTTCTTTTTCAGAGGTAAATCAGATACAGATTTAGGATTTGTCACTAGAAGAAGAAGAAGAAGAAGAGATTGGATTTATACCCCGCCCTTCACTTGGAGTCTCAGAGCGGCTTACAAGCTCCTTTCCCTTCCCCTTCCCACAACAGACACCCTGTGAGGTGGGGTGGGGCTGAGAGAGCTCTTGACAGAAACTGCTCTTTTTCAAGGACAGCTGTGCCAGAGCTTGTGACTGACCCAAGGTCACATCAGCAGGTGCAAGTGGAGGAGTGGGGGATCAAACCCGGTTCTCCCAGATTAGAGTCCGCGCACTTAACCACTGCACCAAACTGGCTCTCACTAGTAGTATTAGTAGTTGACTTGCTACATTCCTTTTATGATACTTGATTTTACTTTAGGGATGGGGTAGAGTTTCCATTTCTGAAGGCATGTTATTCTGAACTTACAGCACAACTTCTTTTAAAAGGCTTGGATTTTATTTTCCACTTTGATGTGGACAAAGGATTTTAAATAGGTTTATTCCATTTTTTAAAAATGATACTTGCCATACCCACTGCCCTTGCATCACTGAGGAGTCACATATGAGGAGAAACGTTCATCACCTTGGTCCATCATTAATGGGGATAGATCAAGATGGGTAGCCGTGTTAGCAACAGAAAAGAGCAAGAGTCCAGTAGCACTCTAAAGACTAACCAAATTTGTGGCAGGGGATGAGTTTTTTGTGAGTCACTGCTCACTTCTTCAGATCAGTATCTGAAATAGTATCTGAAAAAGTGAGCAGTGACTCAGGAAAGCGCATACTCTGCCACAAATTTGGTTAGTCTTTAAGGTGCCGGACTCTTGCTCATTTCTATTAATAGGGATGGCATCAAAGGGAATGCTAGACAGAGGGTGTCAGTACAGAACTGAATATAATAACCCTGGGATAAAAAATACGACCAAAATAGGCACTTGATCTCTCAAACTGGCACATGATTAACTTGAAAGAAAAAAAATGAAATCAGGTCTGAGTGGGTATTACATACAGGTGGCACAGAATATCAATTTGGTTCCCCCCCCCAAACTACAGACCTACTTGTCTGAAAGTTGCCAGTATAGGATGCTTTTCTTGGAAAAGTTCTAGGACACAACCACACGCACACATGCACCATGAACTGACTTTCCAATCCAAAGATCTCCACAGAAGCATATGGTTCCATTTTTTGACACCTTCCCTTTCTAATCAGCTCCCCAAATCCCTTTCCTTCTCTCTGGGAGGAGCCAGCCCTGCTGTTCACTGCTGGCACACATAATCTATTTAACCTATTTAACTGTTTCAAAAAACTGTTCTCCTTTTGCCATCCACCCACTCATACGGTGCTAAGAAGGCCTTTCTCCTGTTCCCCTGACCTTATTTTAGCTCATGCACGCTGTGTCACAAATAGCACCGGTTCTTTTTACCTCCTGTTATGCACAGTGCTTTCTCCCAGTGTGTTTGGTGTTTTACCAACAGGCCTTGTTGTAACACAGATTTGGCAGTGCATGAACTAGGGCAGGTAGTTCATGTGGGTGGGGTTCTTATGATCAGTCACCTTCATTACCTCTAATGCAAGCAGCTGGGCTAGAAGGGGACATCATGCTGCAGCAAGACTCCTCCATCACTCACCCCCGCCTCTCCCCTTTCTGTCTAATAAGCTGCTCATTCTGGAAAGGCAAGCACCATGATCAGGTGCCTGTATACCTCCTGGTGCAACCGCAGATTGATCAAGAGGACAACCAGTGTTGTGTGTGTTTTTGTCCAAGCAAGCAAAACATTCTATTGCCTGTTTGGCCAGTTTGGTGTAGTGGTTAAGTGCGCGGACTCTGATCTGGGAGAACCGGGTTTGATTCCCCACCCCTCCACATGCAGCTGCTGGATGACCTTGGGCAAGCCATAGTTCTGTCAGAGCTGTTCTTGAAAGAGCAGTTCTTGAAAGAGCTCTCTCAGCCCCACCTACCGCACAGGGTGTCTGTTGTGGGGAGGGGAAGGGAAAGGTGTTTGTAAGTTGGTCTGAGACTCCGAGTGAAAGGCAGGGTACAAATCCAATCTCCTCTTCTTCTCCTTTTCTGTCTTTGCCTCGGTGAAAAGAGTGGGCAGCTGCCTGCCACCATTTGTGTGCCTGTTTGTCTTTTCAAAGACATACATACTTGGTACATACAACATACTTGGTTACAAAGAGAGGGTGAAGCTATGATGGCATGGCAGCTGTGTATGAAAAGTAATATAATAAAAGGAGAATAATCTGTATCTAATCCTGAACCCTGTGCCACACAGTGTCAATCCAAAAATCAGCAGAATTGGGCCAGGGACAGACAAAGCAGATATTTTTGCAAGCTTGGGGAAGCCCACAGGTTTGCAGAATAATATTAAAAGTGGGCGGGGGATTGAAAAACTGAAATGTCAAGATCTTGTGAGATTTCCTCTCGGCAGCCATTTTGGGTGGCCTAGGCAAATGTGGTCACCTAGTTAATTCAAAATGGATGCTACGGCTTCACTTTGGTATTGGAGTTGAGCTGGGGAGAAAGGAGGCGTGGGTGGGCAGGAAAGACAAGAAGAATGGAGGGGAAGTGAAGCTGTAGTACAGGAAGGGAGATAAGCAACGTGAAGCAGAAGTGTCAGAAATGGGGGGTGGAGGTTGGAAAGGAAGCAGGGAGAAGTTGCACGAGGGGGAGGAGGAATGGAGGTAAAGGGGCAGATGAGGAGGAAACTGAGAAGGGTAGTTGGGAGGGAGGGAAGGAAGGAAGCAAGGAAAAGAGAGACACTGCAGGGACTGTGAGGGACAGGAAAGGAAGTGGTAGCGATAGCGTGGGGGAAAGGACCAGCAATGGGATGAGATCCCTCTCCCCCATGAGTTCTCACAGGTCCAACAAATGTAGTGCTTTCGCAATTCAGTGCAAGCATCCTATACTACTGTGTAAGTTATTGTTATCCTCTGATAGGGGCCAAGTCTGAGAGAGATTTGTTCGGCTAAAGCCACACTGTGAGCTCGTGGCAGGAGGTTAGATTTGAACTGGGAGTCTAGATCATAGCCCATTCTCTTAGCCACTGTGCTGTTTCATCTTCCAGTAGCAGGAGCCTATTTGTTATTTTTATTTATTGATTGATTGATTGGATTTCTTCCCCGCCCTCCCAGCTGAGGCCGGCTTTAGTTATTAAAACATTTATATCCTGCCTTTCCTCTAGGTACCAAGCAAGCCTATGGTGGGCCCCCTTGCCGCTTATGGATAGACACTCCACAGGTTGAGAATGGTGTCTTAAACCATCCATGTGGTTTTTCACTCAGTGGAAGAAAACTATCATAAGCAGAAAGCTGCAGTCCACTCTTGTCAGTGCGACAGGATTGTTGTCTATAATTTTTTTACGAATGAGGAATTGTATCTGTTTTCCCACCTTTCTTCAGAGATCTAGGTTCCATATCACCTCTCTGTGGTTAGCAATCTGCCTTCCCACTCTGGCACACATAACTCTGAGGATACACAGAGACTGCCTAAATTTATTGTCCATATGTTACCTGTTTGTATAGTAGCCAGTCGTGTTAGCCCACTGCATTCTCCACTTCATGCTTGTGCACAGGGATGTGCCTTACATTTACTTTTCAAGGACAAGATGTCCTTCTGGTAAGCATGCTGGTTTTTGAAGTTCTATTAAAAATACTTTGGAATTGGAATAACTACACTGATCACTGATGTCAGAGGAAAAGGTTTTGGAACGTACGAGTCATCTCTCAGAAATACATGTAGGTATTATATTCCATTATTTGTTGTTTAAACTTTTTAAAGATAAATGTGACTAGGTACAAGCCATAAATATGCTTATTCTCTCCTGCTTGGAAAAAGCCCCTTCTAGGTTTTTACTAGGACTTTCCTGTATCATCACTTGAAATAAGTCCCAGTTATGTTGTAGCCATTCTGCAATACTTCCCCCTCTGTCTTTTTGGCAACACCAGTCAGTAGATGGTCATATTACTTTGGCAACCACAGTCCTCAGTGTGAGTCTCAAGAAGGCTAAGTAATTACTATAAAATTTCCTGGTAATGTTTCCTGGGGTTCAGAAGATTTTCTCACATCTTGATCCCTTGGAAAATAAAATAGTCTCACAAAAAGTACAGCCTGGAAAGACTGCATGTGGCCTAATGCTGTTAAAGGACAACAAACATTCATTTAATTTTCAAACCTCTTGTCAAAAGATACTTGGTTTCACTAGGGACTAAATAATTCGCCCTTCAACTTTGGGCAGTAAAAGAATTCCTTTGCTGGGATATTTGGATATCGAAAATGTATACCAATAGTGTAAAACAGCCAATATAAGTTTAGTATATACAACTAAATGTAGCTTGCATTTCACCACCATATCCCATATCCCATACAGTCATGTATGTGGCTAGGTTGGCTTTCTGTTGCAATGCTTGCAGCTGTTATGAAGTAGGTTTCACATCTGAAGTTTCACATGAGAGGTAAACGTGTCCAATTTTCAAACATTTATAGTAGTCAGGCTGTCTTGGCTTAGCTTTGTGCCAAATTTCAGCTTTCTTTCTGTTGTTGTCAATGAACTGAGGCCTGAGCATCTGTATATGTAAAGTTACACTGAATATTAATATATCTAGAAACATACTAAAGCCACTTACTGTTACCAAATGAAAAAACCCTGTGGAAAGCAGGAAATAACTCCCCCTCCCCATTTCTCGAGAGGTTTCTTTAAATGAAAAGGCCAGATGCTGGTTTGTTCAGTGGATATACCGTACAAAATAACCTACACAGTTTAAGTTACTGCATGCTTGTTTTGATATATAGCTTTCAATTATCCGCCCTTACCTCCTTTGGAGTCATCTAGTGTAATATTATATCTATGTATTGTTGGTATATTTCATTCATGCTTATGTGAGAAAATGATGGTTATATAATTCATGAGATAAGTGTTTTGGGGATGTCTGTTTCAGCCATGGAAACAAGGAAGTATTCTCTTGTCGGGGGATAAAGCTGGCAGTGGACTGGTTTTTGGAAAGAGGCCACAAAGGTGTTACAGTGTTTGTGCCAGCGTGGAGAAAAGAACAGTCACGGCCAGATGCTCTCATTACAGGTATACTCTGTTCTGCATTCAACTACTCAGTTGTAAGAATGTGTAATGTACCTAGAAACGCTTGTTCTTACTGGCTGAACAAATGTTTTATTAGCCAGAATGTTAACAGGTTGGATCCAGTGGTGTTCTCCCGACTCATCCTTCCCCACTGTGCCCCCACAAAGACATTTCTCAAGGTCGGGGCACCTCCGGACCTGCATGAGATGTGGCACAGGCTAGCAGGAGCACTTTCTTACTCCGTAACCTTTATATACCTATACATACATACATAGCCACACAGTTTCTGATTAAATATTCAAACTTAGCCATGTCTTGTTGACAAAATTGTAAAGGATTCTTTCTCGCAGGAAAACTGCAAAGCCTGCTGAGTAACAGAAAATCAGATAAATATGAAGTTAATTATCTATTACGGAAAAGGGCATATTTTAAAGAAATCAGTTTATTAAAAAAAATAGCTCAGACCTGGCAAAAATTTAATATTTTTAACAATGTTATCTCTGATTATGGAATAAAATATGTTTCCATTTTCAGAAGCAGCTTGACAGCATCAATATGTTTGTGAGAAGCAAAGACATCCTCTGTTGTATTTGTACAGGTTGGAAACCCATTGCAGACAGCTGTATTAGCTAGTTCCACTTCTGACATGCAGGCATTGGTTCACATCCAGCACAGGTTCACATCCAGTCTTCATTAAGCACATGTAGTGTTAGTTCCGTGCCCTGAAAAAAGAAGGCACAGTGCATTCTGTCTGGCCACTTTGAGATTTGGTTCATTTGCTATGGAAACTGGAAAAGAAAGTAAGTTGTACTTCTGATCTATGATCTGAAGCGGGTTCTTGGAGACCTTGGAGCACATTTTGCTCATATTAAAGAGGATTAACTATCCACCTCTCCATCTTCCATGAAGGTCTTGTGAAAATCCAATTCAGTGTTTTTGTGTTATATGTCCATGAATGAAGAAAAAAGACACCAACATGTATACTGCCCTTTCTGAAGGATGCTGAGTGTACATAAGCCAAGATACCACTCAGAGGTTTTGCAGTAGAATGTGGTTGTAATATGGACACATGGTGAAACAATCAGATTGCCATTTAGCTACTCGTTTTGTACTTGGCGTGCCTACAAATATGTGTTGAGTGCTATTAAAGGTAAAGGTTCCCTTGCTCGAAAGCCAGTCAAATCCGACTCTACGGTTGTGGTGCTCATCTCCGTTTCAAAGCCAAAGAGCCAGCGCTCTCCGAAGACGTTTCCGTGGTCATGTGGCCGGCATGACTAAACACCAAGGTGCACGGAACGCTGTTACCTTCCCACCAAAGTGGTACCTATTTATCTACTTGCATTTTCTTGCTTTCGAACTGCTAGGTTGGCAGGAGCTGGAACTAGAGACGGGAGCTCACTCCGTCATGCAGCACCCGGGTCTCGAACTGCTGAACTACTGACCTTACTTGGTGACAATAAGAATTACCAGTTATTTGGAGAAAAATGCATGCCTGAATACATTAATGCATGATTGCAGAATGTCTCAGAAGTTGCCACATAAATATGGAAGGCCCTTTATATGAAGATTTGTCTAAGTCAGGGTCAAACTAAACGTGAGGTTGTAAGATCCATGAATGGATTTCTTACTAAAAGTAGACTCAGCAGCCATGAGAGGCCTCAATTTGGTCAAGGCAGTGAAGCAGAAAGGTGATTTTAACCCCCCCCCCCTCCGTTCCATTTTCTCATATGGGTGCCAGTACATTTTCTTCAACAGAGCAAATAGCAGTTGGGGAGAAGGTGACTGAAGTCCCTGGGGCGGGGATTTAGAAATCCCTTCCGCTGTACTATGGCCCTGATCAGGGAGATCCGTTCCCAGATCTCTCTGTGTCCATGCTGAGTGTGACCATCACAGTTGGAACATTTTTTTTAAAAAAAACTATGATCATCTTATTTCTATGGTCAAAATTAAGACTGTAAATAATGACTTCTGTTAAAATATTCTAGTGGGATTTTATTCCCTATATTACAGTTTTATGAAGAAATGGTGGCATCCAGAAGGCTGGGGGGAAAAGATGTGGATCATACAAACAACAAAGATTTGACCAGTGTTATCTGGTTCTAGCCCAGGCTAGCCCAATCTTGTCAGATCTCGGAAGCTAAGCAAGGGTCAGCTGTGGCCAGTATTTAGAGGGGGGACCACCAAAGAATACCAGGCTCATGACGCAGAGACAGGCAAGTGGCAAACCCCTTCTGAATGCCATGAAAATGCTATGGGGTTTCCATAAGTCAGATGTGACTTGATGGCAAAATAAATTAAAAAATAAAAATCCGGTACTAGCCTTTATCTTACTCTATAAAACTCAGTGTGCCCTGGATGAACATCTTTAGTATGCTTTTGGCTGCAGCTACCTGGAAAGGTTGTGTCCGGTCAGAGAACGGACGTTTCGTACAATGCTGATGTAAAAGTACAGCTGGGTTCTTAATGATCAACTGTATTCTAATAAATAGGAAAACGTTTACAGCTGATTTGTCAGTTCTAAGAGGAACGCTTAATACAGATTAGCGGAATTAATTGCAATAACACCTGGTTTTAGTGTGAGCATGATTGTGACAATGTATCTGCTTTTAATTTATTGCTGAACATTAGCCATCTGCTTCCCAAAAGAATGTAACTTCAGTGATTAAGCCAAGTCATCATAGTATGCCCTGTTAAACATTTTGACCTGGTGCCATATAACTGATCTCGGTAGGCTGAATAATGTCTTAACAGTCTCATTAGCAGTTTGCACTTTTCTCTCTCTCTCTCAATACTTCTAGACCAAGAAATCTTACGTAAATTAGAAAAGGAGAAAATTCTGGTGTTCACCCCATCCCGCCGTGTTCAGGGGAGAAGGGTGGTGTGCTATGACGACAGGTTCATAGTGAAATTAGCCTTTGAGTCAGATGGTATCATTGTATCTAACGATAACTACAGGGATCTCGCCAATGAAAAGCCAGAATGGAAGAAGTTCATTGATGAACGGCTGCTGATGTATTCATTTGTCAATGACAAGTAAGTTACAATGACTTTTGTCTCTTACTGAAAAATAACGAAAGAGGAAGGCTATTACTGAAAAATAACTGGGAGATGCCTGTAGATAGATCTACAGGAAGGTGAAGGGCACGTGATAGCAATGGGATGTAGGCCTGGTTTAAACATGTATATTCAGCCAGTTTTTACATGGCAGAAGAGCTCACACCTCTCCCCTCCACGGTGAACCTGAAAGGATATATGGGGCATACATTCGACATGAAGGTTTGATTAATGTCATTCTTCCGCCTCAAAGTGGAGGAGGAAGACCACACAAGTGGCGTCATTGTGTATCTGGGTTTCCACAAGGAATGTCCACATCGCTTATTGTTTAATGGTGATTGGTGAAGCTTAAGGAACCTGTGCATGCTCCTCCATCATCCAAATTAGGATCTTGGCCAGGTTGATGTGCAAACTAAGCTACAATTGCAGTGATATTCATACGCATTCCCCCTGTAGTATTTTAACTTGGCTATCTCATACGTCCCGGGTTAAAAAAGCTTTTACATTGATTGGTTTACTAGCTTTGGAGAGGGATGATGTATGGAATGCATCTGAAATATTATGGAAGGGAAACGACGTCTTTTTAAGACGTAGTGTTAGTGATTCTTTCACATATTGATAGGGAGAATGCAAGATAGCAGTGTGTCTTTTTCAGTTATTTAATTCTTTTATTGTATGTTATATAGATTCATGCCTCCTGATGATCCTCTTGGCCGCCATGGCCCAAGTCTGGATAACTTTCTAAGGAAGAAACCAATTGTCCCAGAACATAAGAAGCAACCATGTCCATACGGTAATTGTATTTACATATACACCAGCTACATTTTTTAAAAAAATATGAGGATTTGTTGCTTATTGGTTTGTATTGTAAAAATTACTGATGCAGATTTCATGAGGTAGTAGCTTTAATTAGAGCGGGTCCTAGAATCACAATGTGTGTATTAGGATATTCATAAAGCTTAAGTAGCCAGAGAACATAATACCTACTATTAGACCTCTTGCTCAGCCGAGGTTGCTGTTGGCATTCTTATGCAAGGCACCATAGCTGGATCCTGACATCACGAAGGAGAGCAAGCCAAACCCTTGGGGTTATGCACTCCTTCCTCTCCTTGTGCGTGGAGCTGAAGTTCCAAACTGGAAAATCTTTAATAAACCCCGGATTTGTATGCTTTATCAAATTGCAGGTTGTTTCTTGCTGACAGACCGTGGTTTAAGATCCTGATTTGCAATCAAGTGCCCAGTTCAGATGTCATGACACATTTTGTGTGGTTCTGAACCAAGAAGTCTTGAATCTTGGCACAGCATGGGATTGGGAGGGGGGGGAGTGGTATGCAAGCCCAAGGAACTTCCTGGCTTATTCTCGTCACAAAAAAAGCGTAGCCTGTTTCTCGTCTTGAAGATGGGAGAAACAGTGGCTCTACCTCACACAGTGTATGGGACAAATAGTGATCTCTAGGGCAGGTTAAAGTCCAAATAACAGCTAACGAACATTTGGTCTCATTGCGCTGCCATGAACTTGTATGTACATATGTACTGTTTTTCAGAAACTTTTTTATCCCTTTCCTGATAGCAGTTAACATTGCTGTAGAATTAAATCTTCTCTCTCTTTTTTTCTCCCTGGCATAAAAATCATCACCAAATTTCTCAGGGAAGAAATGCACTTATGGACACAAGTGCAAATACTACCATCCAGAAAGAGGGAATCAGCCTCAGAGGTCAGTAGCTGATGAACTTCGTGCCATGTCCAGGAACACAGCTACCAAAGCTGCTAGCGAAGGAGGGCTGGTGAAAAGCAACAGTGTTCCTTGTAGCACTAAGGTCGATAGCACTTCAGATCTCAAACGAGCTGCTCCAAAGAGGCAATCAGATCCTAGTATTAGGACTCAAGTCTACCAAGACTTGGAGGAAAAGCTTCCCACCAAAAACAAGTTGGAAACCAGGTCTGTACCTTCTTTAGTTAGTATTCCAAATTCTGCTGCTGCAAAACCCCAAAGTACTGCACCTTTAAGCAATGGGCTTCCATCTGGAGTTCATTTCCCACCTCAGGATCAAAGACCACAGGGACAGTACCCTCCAGTGATGATGGCAACCAAAAATCATGGAACGCCAATGCCTTACGAGCAGTATCCCAAATGTGAGTCTCCTGTGGATGTAGGCTACTATTCAATGCTAAATGCGTATTCAAACCTGGCTATCTCTGGCCCGCGAAGTCCTGAAAGGCGTTTTTCTTTGGACACGGATTACAGAATCAGTTCTGTAGCCTCTGATTGTAGTAGTGAAGGGAGCATGAGCTGTGGCAGTAGTGATTCCTACGTCGGCTACAACGATCGGTCCTACGTGAGCTCTCCTGACCCTCAGCTGGAAGAGAATCTAAAGTGCCAACACATACACCCCCATAGTCACCTTAACTCTCAGCCGTTCCTACAAGGTTACCATGATACGTTAACACGAGTGCAGAGTTACAGTCATGAAGAACCAAAGCATCATCACAAACCTCCCCTTCCGTACATGGCTGTACACCTCCAGCATCCGACTCTTGGCACTCGCTCGAGTTGTCCCGGCGATTATCCCACCCCTCAGAGTTCGCAGCATTCTAAGAACGTGCATATAGGAAGAGCGCTTGTGTCCACGAGAGTAGACAGCATATCCGACTCACGTTTGTATGATAATTCTCCATTAAGGCAAAGAAAGTCTTACTCTGGACAAGATGGACTGGGTAGTTGGGACAGGCAAGGCTATGGGATTGATGCTTATGGCTACCATCAGACTTACTCTTTGCCCAGTAACCCTTCCCAGCCATGTTATGAGCAGTTCGCCTTCCAAAGTTTACCTGAGCCGCAAGATCAGCCTTGGCGAATTTACTGTGGGATGCCGCAGGATTCTCCAAGGTATCAGGACAGCCGAGAGAAAGTCTATATAAACCTGTGTAACATCTTTCCTCCAGACCTTGTGAGGATTGTTATGAAAAGGAATCCTCACATGATGGATGCTCAGCAACTGGCTGCAGCCATTTTAGTGGAAAAATCTCAGCTAGGTTATTGACGACGTGGCGGCGACGATGCATCTTTAAGGTGTCTAATTTAGTTCAGTCTCAGCTTTAACGCTGAGGGAGGTTTGCTACAATAGCATTTGTGATCTCCTTCTCAGCAAGGAGATTATCTAGTAATCCATTTATGTGAAATACTGTGCTTTGGAATTTGTATGTACATCCCAATGCATTGGAAGTGACAGGTTTGTTTTAAATGCTAACTTGAATTTTTTTTAAAAAAAGAAATGTCATGACTGGAAGATCTTTCCAGTTTAATATATTATTATGTTTATGGTCTCTGATAAAGAATCTTCGGTGCGGTGGGAGGGGGGTTTTATATGCAGCACTTTTGAAAGTTTATGTGTTTATTAAGTTAATGGTGTTTTTGTCCTCGAGTGCAAACGTTTAAAAAAAAAAAAAACCTGCAGAAAATGGAGAGGATTTTAATGCGCCCAGCAAACAGTTTTCAAGCTAAGCTTATTAATGAACTATTTTTATTGCAATTAAGTTATTTTTATTTTATTTGTGTGGTTTCCCTTTTTTTGCGCTATAATTATTTTATTTATAGAAAACAAAGTCTATAGCACTGATTTTATTTTTTAAACCATATGTGTGAGTTACCACTTTTAATGCTGAAATCGGTAACAATATATTAGTACTGTATAGTATGGCACTTTTCATTTGTGGTTTGTTTTTTTTTAATTGAAATTATTTGGTGATTACTGTTGATTTTTGGTGCAAGCAGATGCAATCAGTAGGAGAGCCTGCCGTCCCTAATTTATTATTACATAAAAGGCAAAAGCCTCCTCTTCTTTTTTTGCGCAAGCTTTGAAGATGCTGAGCTCCTACAAACTTGTGCTGCTGAAACTTAGGCTATCCATTTAGGTTACAGCCCTTTCCAACTATTGTATACTTCCAGTTATCGGAAATGGCAATGAAACTGAGATTTGTTTTTAGATGTCTCTGTTGCTCCTCCAACTGATGCACAGGTATACTGGATAACAATGCTTTTTTCATAAAAAAAATACCTGTTTTTAAATGAAACAAATTATTCTCAACGCAATTTTTGTATATAAGATACTGTGTATTTTTTCATGCTATTTATCGAGGCTGGCCTGCAGAAGGTTTCATGTTGTGTTGAAGATATGCAACATTTTAATAACTGCACTGTAATAATAGTATTGTAGCTGAGAACGGTCCATTCTCTTTTTTTGGTAAGATACCGTTACAAGTTCTCCAAGTTAAGTGTTCTGGCCTGTTGTATTATGTAGGCCAGATTCTTGTCACAAACACCGTAGTTTTAGAAGCAGACAGAATGGTCTCTTCTAGTATTAGTAAGGGATGTTTCTGGTTTTAAGTCATGGGTTCTGCTATCTCTTTTTAAATGTACTTTTGTCTAGGTATATTAGCAGCAGATCTTGCAGTCAGTGACAGCTTTACTTAGATGTCGTGATCGATCAGCCACTTTACAACACTAGGATTTCCCTGCAGATCTACACTGTGCGATGATTCCTTTGTTTACAATGTTGGTGCTGATGATCACTGGGTTCACAGACGCTGTTTGAAGACCCCCCATAGAACCAGAAAGTACCCTTTACTGTTGATACAAATTGTATCTTTAACTATGAGAACTATTTTGATGTATAGATCTATCTTTAAAAACACACGCATGAATGTGTAAAGATAATTAGACTTTTGGGCAACATTTTATCCCTTATTTAAAAGCTGTAGAATTGAAACCCAAAAACTCTGATAGGTAGGCAAATACTCAGGTCTTTATAATGTATAAAAATATGTTGATTTTTTTAAAAACAATTATTGGCTTGTCTTTTCTTCCTCAAATAATACTGAGAGGTATCTTATCAAGAAAATAACGGTAAAATGCTGCCTGAAAGGAATGTCCAAGCACCTTTTGAATAGGAAAACATTTTTTACTACTTGTGTGACACTGTGTGTTGCAAGAAGTAGGACATTGGTATACAGCAAATGCTCCTGCCAAGCATTGTACTTATAGATGTATCCAATAATCTGAACCATGTTCAGCTAATTCAGGAATTGTTCTTCTACACAGCTTTCACTGTTGACAAGCGAGATGGGATCTCAGTTTGGTTAGGTCCAGCTGCTGTCCCGTATCAGTTCAGGTGGTTCTGTTTTCTGCTCTGTCCACCTCTGCTTAGAGAGAATCTATTTCCCTGTTAATTTCTTCCCTTCCCCTTACCTGAATTGTCCCCATTGGACCTGTTTTAATGGAAGTCATGTTTAAATGGAAACAGGGTACAATTAGTCTATGCTCTTCTCCTTGGCAGACCCCATAAAACAAATGGTGATCGCACAGAAGCTTGACTCGTTCGTTGCAATGGGGCTTCTGCACGTGAGATCCCTGGGCAGGGGCTGCACCCTCAAGAAATAGCTCGTTCATGTCTTGTTTGTGACTTGCATTTTAGTTAATATTTCAGTTACCATTTTATCATTATATTCACATATCTTTTAAAAGATCTAAGTGGGTTCCTGCCACTGGGAGAATGCAAAAACATTCATCTGGGATAGGATAATTTCATTTTTGTTTTTAGTTTAATGCTAAGTTGGTGTATGGTGTGTTAGCCTAAGTAGGCTTCGCTGTAGCCTACAAACTGCGAGAGAGGGCTTACCCGTGCACCGTGTGCTACAGTGCGAAGTGAGCTGCTACCTTGTATGTTTAATAAGTAATAATTAATTTAAATATATATTGAGCCTGTGGGTCTACTGGCCTAGAGATTCCGGAATGTCTGAACTTTGAAGCAAAGCCTGCAAGCGGCCTCCCTTTGGTGTTCACATCTGGTCTTGTGTGATGGCCTTCTTGGGTGCATTATGTACATTATGTCCTACAAGAGCCTTTCCACGCTTGCCTCTTTCTGACCTTTAAAGGACGTAGAATTCTGCCCTCAGAACATCCTTTCCCGGAAAAGAAAAGGTTAGCCTGGCTGATCCTCAGCTCCATATTCTAAGCAGCTCCTGAACAGTCCATTGGTTTTGCTTGGTCCAGTGATTGTGCCTTTTTGTGCTCATGAAAGAACTGAGGCTGTGTTTTGCAAACAGAAGGGAAAGTAGTTCCTTGGCAGCCGGCAGCCATTGGGCTCCTCCACCTGACTCTTTATGTTGCAGACCTACTTCCTTTTGAGAACATCGGCAGAGATGCAGGATCTGCCTGCCGTTCCCCTGGTATTGTTCCTCCCAGACCATTTTTAAAAAATAGGTTTCAGCAGCGGTTGGCCAGTGTCAGGAAAAAGCAACGCGGTCATGCTGCAGAGATGTCAGATCTGTTTTACATTCACTCTCGTCTTGGAGGAGGCCGCAGTGGGCTACAGCTCCAAGGAAAGAGCTTAAAAACTGCCATTCGCGAGTGGAGCATCTCCAAACGCCGACTTGGATCCAGCCATCGTTAACTGTGAAATTAAATACGAGATCTGTGCATATCATTTTAGGAGCCGAAAACTGGGCTCCAGTCTAGTCTAACTGATCACAACCGATGAACACGGTAGGAGAAGTAGACCCAAGCTAACACTGAAATGGGACTTTGTGTGTGTATGTGTGTGTTTTAATTACCTGGAAGCACTTAGCAAAAGGAATGTAAGTGATTCGGGAATCATTTCAATGTTTGTAATTGATGGATCTAACTGTGTGTGAGCGTATATATAGTTATGCAACATGGTATTTATTTAATATTTGAGGGGTTTGGCCAGGTTTTTTTTAATCTCCTGGTACGACTTCAGAAACGATCGGAGATTAACTTGGCTAGTGTTGGTTTTTGCAAACTGTGACAGTATTAATCGTTTCCTCCCACCACTGCATTTCTTCCGTATTATCCTTTTCCGGGCAGTGCCCCACTCATACTGGCAGCTGCTTATCTGAAGAAAGAAGGCGTTGCCAGAAGTACGTCTACATGCACTACTGGGCATTGGCCTTTAGCTTTTTCAGTAGATCAAATTGGACAAAGTAAAATGAAACACAATGGAGACTTCTCTGCATTTGAAGCAGGTTCTACCATCATGTATTTTCTACTATCCCGCCTGCTATGATATCCGGTTTCAGAACAGGTTCCCATGCTACCATCCATGCTGGTTGTTCCCCCATGACTCCATGATATCCTCTCTTCTTCCCCAAGCTAATCATTTTGGTTACTAGTCTGATCCAAGATTAAGAGAAACTCTTGCATCTGATTGGATGATGCAGTTGAACTGAAGAGGTGAGTGGGAGTTTGTGCTATGAAAAAGGGGAGAATATTGTAAAAAAAAGAAAAAATGGAAGTATGGTGGAAAACTAAAGTACATTGCATACGTAAAACCTGAATGCTTTTTTCTTCTGCTTTAGGGAGGCTAAGAATGACTTTCCTTGGCACATACATTGCATTGGTTCAGAATCTTTTCATGTCACTACAGGATTGATCCAAATATGCCAACTCTTGTAATGCCTTTTTTTTTTTTAAGTACCCAGATTAGGGTATTTCAGATTCTGGACTTTCCCCCCACAAAATGCTAATAATGGCTTTTTAGCCTTTGTCACAACATTTATTATTGACATTTATAGCGTTCTAGGACTCTGTTTAAGTTTGGCTTCAGCCTAATCGGAGTTTACATTTATAGTTGCATTCAGTGCTTGATATGCTGTTTTTGGTTACCTGTGGCTAGATGTGTGTGTGTTAGCATTACTGAGGATGAAACCTCCAAGCTCACCTCCAGGGGTCTCAGCCTTTCCCATAATAAAGTCTCCCCTCCCCATAAGAATGGAAAAAACACATAATTATATAAATTATAAATAACGTAAATTTAACTAATGTGGGAGTTCGTGACATTGTTACAGACATTTGAAATTTCTGCATTGTCCATGGAAACACTCTCTGCCATAGTTGCTTCAGCATGTCAACAAAAACCAGGTCAAATCCTTCCCAGGTTTATCAAAGCCCCCTCCCCCCGTGTATTGTGTAATGGTGTGATGCTACATTTTAAATATAAATTAATATGGGAGGGGGATAAGGAATTGCAACA